GATGGGAGGGACATAGAATTTGCATTTTTAACAAGTGCCCGGATGCTGCTGCTGTGGGGACCACACCTTGAGAACCACTGCCCTAATGCATGAGCTGCGGTGCTGCAATTACTACCCCCATTTTACTGAGGAAACAGTACCCGGTCCCTGTTTCTGTCATTTGCGCAGTGCTGCCTTCACGCTGCACTACATCAGTGCCTGCCCCACACCCCGCATCCTTGCACTCTGACTGTGCCATACGAGTTAGTGTTTTATCTGCAAGTTAGTGTTTTATAGCAATCTGTTTTAACCTGCCGGTAGGTGATTACAGCATAGAGTCGGAATAGACTAATTGTTATAACAGACATCTGCACCCTGGTGGCTTTGAAAAATAAGTGTTTATTTCTTGCTCATGTTACAGTCCCTGGTAGGTTGCTGGGAACTGCAGCGGGGAATTCTCTGCTCCACATAGTCTTTCAGGGATCCAGCCTCCTTCCATCTCGTGGCTCCACCCTCCTCTAGCTGTTGGCGTCTTCTCCAGTCAGATGGCAGTTGGGGAAGAAGATGAGGATCTGAGGAACTGGGGCTAGATGGCACATTCTGTTGATCAGAACTGAGAAGCCACATCGAACTCCAGAAGGCTGGCAAAGGTCTAGATATGTGCCCAGGAGGAAGAGGAGATCAGGTATTGGAGGACAGCACTGATCTGTGTCCCAAGTCCTATGGTTTAGGGAAGTGAACCCTGGAACTGGATTTCCTGACTTCCTAAATCTCCCTTTATGGGGAACTTTGGGCCTAGTCTGTGGTGGGTGGGTTTGCTTAGCTCACACCCTCTGCTCAGCCTTCTCTGCTTCACAGGGTGGCCTGGGGGTGGTGGGTTCCTCCTCATGCCAGGTGGGGCGTGGGCTCCACAGGGCCAGAGATGTGTGTGTTCTGCGTCCAGACTGGGGGCAGATGGCACGATGATTCCTGCCAGTGCCTCCAGATCACTGGGGAGGGGTGGGCCCGGGGGCAGCTCCAGAGTCAGGCAGCAGCATGGCCCTGGAAGGACTGTCTGGCTGAGGACAAGAGCCTGAGGGGGGGGATGGGGGGTGGGCGGGAGGGCAGGAGCCCTCGAGGGCCTGGTGAGATCTGGGTTTAAGTCCCGGATCCATCATTAGCAGCTGCGTGACCTTACGCCTTGGTTTCCTCAAATATAAACTTGAGATAATACAACCACCTGCCTCATAATATTTTTCTGAGGATTAAATGAGATGGCAACTGAGAGCCCCTGGCACAGTGCCTGCTGCCACACAGTGGGCATGTCAGAGAGGTTAGCAGTTTGCCCCTGGTTGCTCCACCGAGGAGGGCATCGGGATGGGGTGCAGGGGCTCCCCCAGCCTGGGGGAGCTGGGCTCACTTGAGTTCTCAGCCACTTTTGGAGGTGGGGGACAGAGGCACTGCTGCTCCTTGCACAGGTCAGGGTAGTCTGGGGCCCAGTGGTCAGGGCCTGTGGTTAGTGTGGGACTCTTCAGCAAGAGGCGAGGCAGGCAGGGCTGATGGCTGTGCAGTCTTCAGTGGGTGCCAGGAACCCCTGAGAGCCTTGGCCTTATGGGAGCTGTCCGTAGCATGAGCCTGTTTGTCCTCTGGGGCCCCAGAGTTCCCCCCTGCTCTTTGAGTTGATAAGAATCAGTCCTGGGTTGAGACTTAGTCAATCTCCACACCTGTGCTGAGTGGCCTCATTCCATGGGCAATGGCGTGGAGTAAAGTTTTCTAATGAGCAGGGCTTGGGCTCCAAGAGAGCTTTATGGGGCAGGGGCGCAGGCAAGTGTTGGCCATCTGTGTCCGAGGTGGTGCAGAGGTGGCAGCCGGCTCACTTCCCTCTACCCTGCAGACCCAGAGCGTCCTACTCTACTCCCTGGGTACAGACACAAAGGACTCATCTCACTAGAAACTGTCCCGTCTGGCCGGGCGCGGTGGCTCACATCTATAATCCTGGCACTCTGGGAGGCTGAGGCGGGAGGATTGCTTGAGTTCAGGAGTTTGAGACCAGCCTGAACAAGATGAGACCCCATCTCTACTAAAAATAGAAACTCTCAGCCGTGCGTCATGGCGCACGCCTGTAGTCCCAGCTACTCAGGAGGCTGAGACAGGAGAATCCCTTGAGCCCAGGAGTTTGAGGTTGCTGTGAGCTATGATGATGCCACTCTACCCAGGGCGACAGAGCATACTTCGTCTCAAGAACAACAACAACAACAAAGGAAGCTGTCCTACTGGCTTCCCAGAATGAGGCAAAGGAAGTGCAGCTGGACCCTGCATGTCTTTAATGGAGCCTACATCCAACAAGAAGGATTTGGGGGCTGGGAGGACTCAGGAAGGGACTGCAGTGATGTTCTGGCCCAGGTTCCTCACCTTAGGCTCTGGCCATCACTGACCCTGCCTGCTAGAGGTCATGTGATCAGGGCATGAGGGGTCAGGCAGGGCAGGTGGCCTATGGCAGGGCCATCAGTCCACCTAACGCCTCAGATTTACCCGTCGGTCCATGACTGCCAGGCCCAGGCCTCCAGCAACCACTCTGCAGAGCCCTGTTCTGGACACTACCCCATCATCTGCACAGGTTCTGGTCAATTCCACCTTGAAAGTTCCGGCTTCATTTTTATTTTCAACACACATTTGTCAAGCACTGCTGTGTGCCAGGCACTTGGGACATCAGTGAACCAATTGGATGAAAGCACTTGCCCTTGGAATGCTTGTTATCTAGGAGAGAGACACATACTAAGTAAAATGGCATTTTACAAAGTAAGTGCTAAGGGAAAAATGGAGCAGAGCAAGGGGATTCAGAATTGTGAAGGAGTTAAAAGTTGAGCAAACACATAAAGGAGGTGATGGTTCTGGGCAGAGGGCAGAGCCAGCCCGAGGCCCCTAGGAGGGTACCTGTCTGCATGTTTGGGGAACAGCAGGCAGCAGGCCCAGGCTGAGGCCTGGAGCCAGTGACGCAGGGGAGGGGGGTGAGAGGTGCTGTCTGAGGGCATGGGGTGAACTGCAGGGGCTTGAGCTTTGACTCTGAGAAAAATGGGTTTTGAGCAGAGGAATAACATGATCTAATTTCAGATTTAGAATGATTTTAGGTGGAAGCAAAGTGCCTGATCAGAGTCTCACAGACCCCAGTTCTGGCCTCCTTGGCTCCAGCTGAAAACGCTGTATGATAATCACCGTCTCCTGGGCTGTGGCCACAGTCACTGGCCATTCCCCTTGCCTCCTGCTCTCCCAGTCCCTTTTCCACACCAAGGCCCAGCTGTCTCCAAGAAATGCCTCTGTGGTGGCTCACGCCTGTAATCCTAGCACTCTGGGAGGCCGAGGCAGGCGCATTGCTCAAGGTCAGGAGTTCGAAACCAGCTTGAGCAAGAGCGAGACCCCCCCCTCTACTATAAATAGAAATAAATTAATTGGCCAACTAATATATATAGAAAAAACTAGCAGGGCATGGTGGTGCATGCCTGTAGTCCCAGCTACTTGGGAGGCTGAGGTAGCAGGATTGCTTGAGCCCAGGAGTTTGAGGTTGCTGTGAGCTAGCCTGACATAGGGAGGTCTAGCTTTGCCTGCAGGGCCCGCTCTGGGGGAGCGTCTCCCCCATAGGGGCTGACCTCCAGAGGTCCGTTTTTTTTTTTTAGATTACATTTTAGGACTTTTGAAATATACTTTATTTCAGTCATATTAATTATGTAAATGCATCTTTCTTACTGTATAAAACAACACAGAATTGTCTAAAGTGGTCTTCCTCTCCATTCGGAGAAGAAACCAAGAAACAAAGCTTAACAATTAGGTGTGTGATCTTCCATAATCTTTCCTTTGTCTACACAAAAGTAATCAAACATACAGAATTTTAAAAATGGATTACACGGTGCACGATGTTCTACATGTCGCCTCTTTGTTTTATCAGCTGTGGCCAATTCTCCTCGCCAAAACAGCTGACCTCATTGTTTGTGACAGCAGTAGAGCTCCATACTGGGCGACCCGCACCCCCGCGGAGCGACATTCAGGTGGTTTCCAGTCACTTGCACAACAGCATTGCCTGCGTGCACCTCCCGGGCCAGAAGGAACTGCGTTAGCGTGCAAATTAAACACGCCACATCGGCCACTGAAAAATAAAATCAAACTATAAGCAGTTGAAGGCGGTAGAAAACCTAGTCTGAATACTCCGGGGCTCCGTGGCCCCGTTCGCAGCCGCAGTCCCTGCTCCTGGGTCCTCCCGCACCGAGACCCGCGCCCGAGGCCCCTCCCCCGCCGGTCCGGGCGTCGCACGCACAGTCTCTGCGTCCGCCCCCAGGGGGCGCCCCAGGCCGGGCCGGGCAGCCCCGCCCCCAACCGCACAGCCGCCCGGGCCCACGCCGGCGGGAGGTGGCGCCCGCAGGGGCCGAGAGCCCCCACCCGCGCCCGGCCGAGCGCGCCGTCCGGGAAACCCGACCCAGCCCGCGCCCAGGCTGCCACCGCGGCTCGGTCACGAACTCCGGATTCGGTGTCTCTTGGCCTCCTGCCCCACTGACCCGGGGCTGCCAGGGAGCACGCTTCCCCGGCTACAGCCCCTTGGTCGCACAAAACGAGCGCTGGCGGGGGTCGTTCTCATCCGGCCACCACCCATCCTTCACCTCCAGGGTCCCCGCAGGGACGACACCACCACTCTGCCAGAGGAGTGCACTCACGCCCGGGGCCTGCCCTTGCCCACTGCTGCGCCCCGCGTTCCCTCTGCCCTCTGCCCCTTCCGGTCGTGGGCTCGGGGTTCTGCAAAGACAGAATGAAGCTGCAGGAGCCCAGACCCCCGCGGGGGCCTTCCTCCCCTTTCCTCCCGTCTCTTCTGGGCTCTGGGCTTCCACCCAGCTAGGGAAGATACCTGGGCCCGAGGCGGGAGGGGCTCCCAGGCCCAGGAACTGAGGGGAGCCAGGACTCCTGGTGGGGGAGTCGGTCAAAGGCTGGAGGTGGGGGAAGAGAGGAGAGGGCGGTGGGAGTCCAGGGCCACAGCCTGCCGCGGGCAGGGTCGTCCGTGTGGAGGCTCCCACAAGGTCTGGGTCCCGCTGGGACCAGCCCGCTTGACGTGGGTGAGGGGCGCCCCACACTCTACAATTCTTTTCCACCCTGTGGGCTTAAACCGCCTCTGAACCCGCTTAGTCCTTCTTCCTGCTGTGTGTGAACCTCTCCAAGGGGCAGGAGGCTCACCCCCCTCCCATCACTCTAGGGTGCCTGATCCACCCTCTGCGCTCATGGGGAGGGAAAGGGACAGGAAGGTCACCGCTCCAGCCAAGCCACAGTGCCAAATCCTCCTTGTTCCTTTGTTTTCCCCGGGTCAGGTTACGTTTTCAAACCATCAACAGACTCTTAGTTTCCAGTGGATGACAAATTTGAAAATTGGGTAGAGTCCCAATGTGGCAACTTACAGATTGGGTAGCCAAGGCAAGTCACTTACCTTCTCTGAACCCCAGTGTCCTTGTCCGAATAAAAGGGCAGCTGTGAGTAGCTCTGAGCACATGTTTAGGGTGAGCTTTCACCCTAGAGATCTCAGCAACAGCAGCTCCGCCCCACCCTCCTGCCCTCATCCGGCCCTGTCCAGGGTACTTCTGGTCAGGGCACAGGAAGATCGGTTTCATCTTCTTTCGTTTTGATCAATTCCAGACACCTGCAACAAACAATGAGATTAACAGCAGCCTTAAAACTGGCCCCTGCGGGGTTTGTGCACATGCATGGCTGCAGGACCTCATTACAGGGAGAGGGCGAAGGATGTCAGCTTCCCTCGAGTCCTTGAATTCCATAATGAAACCTGCTCCAGCTGTCTCTACCGATTCCATTTTGTTTTCTTCTTTGGTCAAATACAGATAGGAGAAAAGATCTCTCCTTCGCCAAGGCAGAGTTTTAAAAGCATCACCTCAGGATGCCAAGTGTTCTGGAAAAGAAGGTGGGCAGTGAAGGAGCAGGCAGAGGGAGGGCTGAGGGGCCCAGCAGCTCCTGGCTGGCTCTTCTGGCCTCTGTTTGAAATTGGCTCAAAAGACATGGAATTAGTAGGCAAAGCTGTCTCCTCCTCCTCCTCTTATCTGCAGAGGAGAGATCGGTTCCTGGCTGGCCAGGGCAGTGTCATCGATACGGCTGGTGTCATCGTTACCTTCCACTAACAGATCACTTGACACCTGCCAGCTCGGGCAGGACTGGGCCTGGCCATTGCTTGGCTATGCTGGAGGCTTGGGCCATTGTTCCAGAACCCCAGGAGAGGCCAAGACACAGGTGCTGCTGAGACGCCGTGCATGGTGGCCCAACAGAAGGACTAGATTGCTCCTGGCGGCTGCTGTCCCTTGCAGGGTCCCAGCTGCCTCTTTGGTTCCTGCTGCCTGGCCTCTTTCATTGTCAGGAGCAGAGGAGATGAGGCCGTTGTTGGCTGGGAGCCAGGGCGGACTGATTCCGCATGGAGAAGGGGCACTGGGAGTGGCTTCGGAGTGAGGGGGAGAGGAGCAACCTGGGGCATCCCGCGCGGCCCTGCTCCCCTGGCTGGCTGCCTTTCCGGTGCGTGCGTCCCAGGCGGCATCATGCTGCAGCAGATCCTGCATGACATGTACATCGACCCTGAGCTCCTCGCCGAACTCAGCGACGTGCAGAAGCACATCCTCTTCTACAAGATGCGGGAGGAGCAGCTGAGGCGCTGGAGGGAGCGGGAGGCTTGGGAGGCCCTGGCCCAGGAGGAGGGTCTCAGGCCCCCAAAGGCCAAGCGAGGTATGCAGTTGGGAGTCACTGAGGGGTTGGCTGCCAGTCCCTGAGGAGGCAGAAACTTAGCGAGGCCAGGCAGAGCCCTTCTTCCAGACAGGCACTGGTGTGCCGAGGGCCGGGGGCTGGAAACCCTTGTCCTGTGGGCGTCTAGCCCCATGAGCCTGGGCTTCTGTGTTTCGACCAGGACTTTGGGGCTTCAAGGATGCTGCAGGGGCTATCCGGGAGCGCTGCTGGGGTGAGGGAATGAGGACTTGCTTTGTCTTGTTGTGGAGGCTCGAATTCTGGGAAGATGCCAGTGGGCATCAGATTGTGCACAAATGTGGTCATCGGTGGCACGGTGAGTGAGGGCGTATTTGTGCCCCTCACTGGTGGTTCTGGGCTGGGTACAGGAAGACACACAGCTCCTCTCTCCTTTGCATGGGTGCACCCCAGTGCTCAGCTGGGCCTGCACTATGCACCCTGCCTCTCGCTCCAGATCCTCGTGGGAGAGGATGCTTTGGGTCATGCCTGGAGCCCCACTGGGCATCTGGAGGGGGTGTGAGGGAATGTCTTGCACAATGAATGACCAACCCCAAATGGTAGTAGCAACTGCAGACAAAACAAGGGCCCAACCACCATTGAGGGTGGTCTATGTGCAAAGTATGCGCCAATCCAGCCTGTGGACGGGGACACCTGTGGGTCAAGGAGCGTCTTCAGGAACTCTGGGCTGGAAGCAGGTAGGCTGCTGGGGCTTGGCGGGGTGCAGTCCCGCTGGGGCTGGTAGTTTCTGTGGATGCTGCACGCGCTGTGCACTTTGCAAAGCTCACCTGCCTTCTCTCTCGTTTGCTTCCCACACAGCCCTCCTCTTGGCCTCCACACTGTTCCCGGAGTGCAGCTTTGATCTGTTTGAAGTTTTCAGACCAGGACAAAGTCTTGTTTCAGGGCTGAGGATCCAGGCCCATTGGTGATGTGGCTCTTTTCCATGCCAGGCTCAGTGCTGGTTGGTCCCCACTGTGTGTCATAGGCCACACTCACACCAATCTGGACACGTTTGTTCTTATCTCTGGTCTTTGCGAGTGTTGTTCTACCATGTCCTCCTGCCTTCGTCCACCTGAAAAACTCTGTCAGGACTAGCTCTGTGCCCTGGGATCTTTGGGGGATGCTCCTGGCATAGTGGACTCCTTGTTCTTTTGCAGCCTCCTGGTGTGTAAGACCTAACCTTGCCCTCGTACTTGCCATCTTGTCATTGTCATTCCTCACCTGCTTCCCTGGTTCTCCCAGTGGACTCAAAGCCCCTGGAACGCCAGACCATATTCCATCCTGCCTTCCTCCCCTGGGCCTCGCACAGAGCTGGCACGTGGCTTTAAATCCTCATTTCGAACAAGACACAGCAGGACCCCGAGGGGGGAGGTGTAGCAAAGCTGTGACTTGGCTGCAGGTGGCTGTGCCTTCCTGGCTGGCTGTGCTGGCAGCGGCACAGCTATGTGGTAAAGCGACAGGCCGCCTTGCCAGCCCCACCTGGCCTGTGCCCCGGGGCTGCTTTTTGTCTGTATAGTGACTCTTCTGGGAGGAAGACAGATGCCTAAAAATTTAACTGCAAAAATATTTATATGGAGATTTGCCACACACTGACATCTACATTTTCATGTATAAATGATACATTAAACTCATTGGGTTTCTGGTGCCAAAGAATCTTTTCTGGGTCATTAATTTTCTGATTTATATAGAATGGAAAGGAGGGGGAAACACGGCGTGTGCGTGTCCCAGGTCAGGGTCACCGGGATCCCGGCCCTTGGCTTCAGGCTTGCTTTGCGGAACGGTCTGGGTACACGGCTTGGAGCAGAGGGGGGTGGCCCTGCCCAGGAACCCAAAGAACTTTTTGCTGGAGGCTCTGGGTTGACAGTGCCTGCTCATGTCCTGGGGTCATGATGAGGGGTCGCAACAGCCCTGTACTTTGTCTGTGACCTTTACGTTTACCAGGGGCCTGCCCTGCCCCCTCTGCTCCCATATCCCTGCGGAGTGGCGGGGCGGGCCCCTGTGACCCCGTATCAGGTGAGGCCCCTTCACCTTCACAAAGTGATGCCATACATCCAGGGTCACCCAGCTGCTACATCCCATGACTTTGATGTGAGTTTGACTGATTTTTCCACTTCATTCACTTCCAAACTTGGGGCTTCAATGAAATGAATGATCTGTGCATACGTTCATCGTTTGCCCATCTACTCACTCAGGCACTTACCCGTTAATTACTAAGTGCTAACCTGGTGGGCCAGATGGCGTTCGGGTCCTGGAGTCCGTGGGTCGGTGGATCTTGAGGAACAGCTAGCGAGAGTGCTGGGCTGAGGCTCAGTGCAGAGCTGCCATGGTGTGGCGGCTCAGGGTAGAAGGACATGGGACAGGCTCCGTAGCCTGGATCTTTTTTCTTCCTTTCCTGCACAGGCATCCCCCTTCCTGGTCCCTCCCTGCTGTTTGTCCTGGAGGAAGCATCTGCTGTACCCTGGTTGAGCTGTGTGCCAGCCCCGAGGGGTCCCTGAGCATGACTTGGCTTAATCCTGGTCAGCCTGAAATGACAATGCCTCCTCCCATCCTCTGTCCCTGGTCCTGCTTGCCTTCTTTGTCCCCTTCCTCCCCTTTCTGGGAACATTTCCCAGCTCCCAGAAGTCCTGAACTTGCCATCCCTAGGGCTCAGGTGACACTCGCCATGGCACTATGGGCTGGCAGGACAAAGTCTGCAGCCTTCGAGCTGTGCCTGGTGACGGTGGGAGTAAACACTGGTGACATGGCGCATTGTAGTTTATAGAGCCTCGGGGATTTACTGATCCTGGAACTCACAGAAAGAAGCCGGGGTGAAAACTCAGAGGCACACTGTGAAAAAGTGGAAGGGGAGAAGGTGAGGTCACTGTGGGGGACACATTGCTCCCCTGAGCATGTAGCATTTCTCTCTCGCTCTCACTTTACACTTTGGTGAGAACCTTCTGATGCTCCAGCTCCACCCTGTTGCGGAGGATAGAGACCCTTGGCTGAGTAGTTTTCTCATCTACCATCAAGTTTGCTGTTTTATCGCATTTCTGACAAAGTGCGTTACCCAGTGGGAATCTGGGTTATTATATGGAGACTCCGGGAAGGCATGTCATAATATTGTGTCCCTGCAAGATGTAAGCCAAGTGCCTCCAGCATCACTGTGACCTGTGCAGGCCCCCACTTTGCTCCCCTGGGCCAACACAAGAACTCACAGCCTGGCAGGCCCCTTCTGCACTCGGTTATCCAGGTTTTTGGGGCTGAAGCTGAGTGTGGCCGTGTTCGCAACCCAGGGAGGCTCCCCATTTGGACCTGTCGGTTCTGCCCTGATTGACAGTTTCTGCCAGTGGTAGACTGGTGTTTCTGTGGAGCCAGGCATTGTGCCCCAACCCCATCCTGCTCCCCAGTCCATGATCCGAGCCCAACCACGAACACCCGGGGAGTTGTTTACTCTCCCTGGGGTTTCTCACCACACAGCCAGCCCAGTGTCAGAACCCCTGTGTCCCCGTGATGGCTCGCTGGCCTGCCGTCATTCTGGCCTGCGGAGGGCACGAAGTCCCTCGGGGCTCCAGCCTTCACTGCCTCCACTCTCCATAGCTGGGCTCAAGAGGAGCAGCCACCTCCCAGGCCACCTCTGTCACGGCTCTGCCTGTGCAGCTCCCAGCCCCAGCCCTGACCTGGGGCCCGAGGGTGTCACCATCCTCTCTGTGTCTCAGCATTAAGTCTCTCCTGCTGCCCTAATGGAAGCTGCGTGATGCAGCCCTCACTGGGCGTCTGCCTTCTCTCTGTTTCCGGGGGACCATCCAGTAACCATGGCAACCTTGCCTGCTGGGTCTGGGCTCTTTTAGCCTCCGTGTGTTCCCTTTCTGGGCACGGCAGCCCTGACCTAGAATGCCAGTCCTGCCTGGAACCCTGACTGGGCCCTGCCCCTGCCTGCAGGCATTCCCAGTGTGGCCCTGTTCCCAGTGGCCCCCGCCTCACGCTCACCCCTTCTCCCCACAGCAGCCAAAGAGCTCTGGACACCGTGATTAGCTCAGGCATCCCCCTGCCTCGGCAGCTTCTGTTGCACTCACAATGAAACACCCATGGCTTTCGCTGGTGTTGGCCATCTGTCCACTTCAACCTAGTTTCCGCCCCTTTGTGTGCTTGTTCTGCGTGGAGTGCTTTCCCCAGATCCTTAGCGCCTGCTCCCTCCTCATCCTCCATTTCTCATTTAAATATGGATTCTTCATTGACCCGCCTCTCTCATCCCAAGCTCTCTCACAACACCCTGCCCCCGTTTTGTGCTAGCCCTTAGCACATCTGAAAGTATCTTTTTAAAAAAATTGTGGTAAAATACACCTAAAGTAGAATGTACCGCTTTAGCCATTTTAAAGTGTGCAGTTCAGGGACATTTAGTATTATATGTTCAAGATGTTGTTCAACCGTCACCACTGTCTAGTTCAGAACAATTTCCTTACTCCAGAAGGAATCCCACATCTGTTAACGTCACTTCCTATCTGCTCCTCCCCTCAGCCCCTGGGGACACCCATCTGCCTCCTGACTCTAAGGGTCTGCCCCTCCCCGTCTCCCCTCCTGCTGCCCAATGGAAACACCCCTCCTGGCTTTCTCTCGGCTTTCCCTCTTTTCTTGTCTCGCTTTGCTTGTTTATGGTCTGTCTCCTCCATTAGCCTAAAAGTACCACGAGGCCATGGATGTGGCTTGTGTTTTTCAAGTTTCTATCCTGACCTCTAGAACAAAGCATAGGGGTAGGGCTGGCGTGTGCCTGGGTTAGTGGCATCTAAGACCCTCGCATGTGTGGGGTGCCGGAGGGGCTTGATTGAAGAGACAGGTGTTAAAAGATTTCTTTTATGAGTGGAAGTCTGTGTGCTGCACAGTGTGACCCCTCCCCTAGACCTCAAAATTGTTCAGTGAAAGTATAAAAGAAATCACAATATACTTGTGCTTCGGGATTTGTTTTGGAAGCTGATATAGTAATACGATAATATATGTATGAGCAATGACAATTC